TCGGCACATGTGTGTGGTGATGGGTTGTAATTAGTATTTGGGTGGTGAACATGATGTAATCTATGCATAAATAGAAGTATAATGATGTACACCTGCAATTTACACAATGTTATAAACCAATGTTACTGCAATAAATAAAAAAATTAAAAATAAATAAATAAAGTAAAAAAAAAATACAATTAGAAAGCAAACAAACCAGGAAAATATATTTGGCACATGTGGACAGACAAATTTATATCCTCAATATATATGACCACTTATAAATCAGTAAGAAAAAGATGAACCCACATAGAAAAATGAAAACAAAAAAAAAAAGAACATTAAGAGACAATTTGTGAAATATAACAACCAATATATGGATGAAGAATGTTTGATAATTCTTATAAGAAACAGAAATCAAAACAATAAGAAATCTTTTCAACTAGGAAATTGGTAAATGTATTTTAAAAATAAGATTTAACATAATGTGTATGGTTCCTAAGAAGTCTGAGAAGTGAGCTTCTAATACACTGCTAGCAGGAGAGTGAAGTGACTTGGAGAATAAAATAGTTTACTCCTTCTGGAAAGCATCTTAACAATAAATAGTAAAAGCTTTTTTTTTTTTTTTTTTTGAGGAAGATCAGCCTGGAGCTAACATCTATGCCAATCCTTTTTTTTTTTTTTTTTGCTGAGAAAGACCAGCCCTGAGCTAACATCTATTGCCAATCCTCCTCCTTTTTTTTTTTTCCCCTTTTTCTCCCCTAGGCCCCAGTAGATAGTTGTATGTCATAGTTGCACATCCTTCTAGTTGCTCTATGTGGGACGCCACCTCAGCATGGCCAGACAAGCAGTGCATCGGTGCGCGCCCAGGATCCAAACCCAAGCCGCCAGTAGCAGAGCGCGTGCACTTAACCACTAAGCCACAGGGCCGGCCCCTAAAACCTTTAAAATTATATATTCTCTTTGATTGAGCAGTTCAATTTCTAAGAACTTAAGGAAAAACTCCATAGACATACACAAAAAACAGCTTCAAAAATGTTCATATCACAAGGCAACTTAAAACAGAAAAACTAGAAGCAAATGACATAGGCAATAAGAGAAAAAACGTTTTAAACGATGAGTAGTATACCCATATAATAGAATATCAAGTATTTAGGAAACAACTCTAAAATATTAATGGGCAAAGGGGCACAACATATGCAACTTACTCTCCAAGGGTTCAAAACAATTCTGAAAATAGTAATAATTATCATCTCTTTCTCTCTACACATAGATGCACACACCAAAAATGTGTGTGCGTATATATATTAACAGGGAATGTGATAAAACAAATATGGCAGAATGTTATCAACTGATGCATCTGGGTCAAAGTTACATGGGAGGTTCTTTGTGCTCCTGTTGCAACTTCTTTGGAGGTTTGAAATTATTTCAAAATAAGTTAAAAAGATTTAAAAAGTAAAAACCCAGTTAAGTAAAAGTTCAGAGACAGAAAAGTGAAAGTCTCGTAAACTCTTCATTGCCTCATTCCTCTCTACAGTAATACTCTTTTAAAACTTAGCAAAAAGAATGCTGTGAAAGTATCTTTAAAGATCTAGGATATTTTTCACTCTATATTGAGTAAAAATCATATGTACATACAAATCATTATGTAAAGCATGATTTCAATCGTTTTAATGCATCAATAACAAAGACATCACCCTATGGATGGAATGTTGATGATTTTATTTTAATCTTTTCATTAATTCTATTCCCTAACATTACCAGTGGTGCATGGATGATATATGCAAGTTTTTTCTAAAAAGTGTCATTCAAAAGAAAGGGTACCTCACTCAGTGATAGTTCATATCATTTTCTAAATTCTGACATATGCAATATGATATGAGAGAATGCTGAAGAGTCTGGGATCCAGAGTCAGAAAAACCTGGGCGTGAATTCCAGTTTTGAACTTACCGGCTTTGAAACACAACTCTATCTACCCTACCACCTGTTCTGCATTTTTACACAGACCCTAGCTGCTCCTTACAAAGTTCTAGGTAAGCAATATGACATCTCTAAGTGGACTTTCCCCTCTTTCCTATAGACTATGAAATATAATCTCGGAAAGCAGAAAGAAAAGGAAGCTACACACTCTCTTGTCCCCCCCAAAAATCATATTATGAAGATAAAAGGGCCACTAACCACAGTGTAAAAATAAGATTGAGTACAATTAAGTATAAAGCAGAAAACACAAATATCTGGACTTTATGCTAGAGTAGAATTTTCATGAGGTCATACTGAATGCAGATATAGCTAATAGCTAGGTTGGGATATACTCACCCATCTAAAATTAGACTTTCATAGGCAGCTTTTTTGTCACACACAGGACAAATCCAGGTGGGCTTCTTCTCATTCATTTGCAGATAAAGGGCAGCATCAAAACACTGTAGATGTGTACAAGTCACTGCACGGCATGGGATTGTCAGCCTCATTTTCCCTAACTACAGGACAGGGACGACAACATGGGAAAGCACTTCAGAAAGGAGAACAAAGCCTCAAAGGGAACAGCCAGTCATAAAACTCTGAAGAAGTCATACAAGAAGATTAAAATGAAAAAGAAATTCAAACCAGAATTTATTTCCATCAAGATCACTATATATTTTATTTGTATTCATTGATTGCCCTATGATTTTTAAAAGACCATTTCACTTCTTTGAAAATAGGTAAGACGTAAATTCACAGGTAGAAAAAGATAAATATACAATGAAAACACGTCTGCTTCTCACCCATTCCCCTATTGAGAGGGAACCACTGTTGTCCATCTCTTGCATGTCCTCTCATGCATAATCAAATATGTATTTTAAAAAACATGTTCCCACAAATGGTAGCACACAATATACACACAATTCTGCACTTCTGTCACATAACTTGGGGACTGTTTCACATGTATCAGAATATAAAAAGCTATTACACTATGAAGGTATCATAATTGATATGAAGGATCATTATTTATTTAACCAGTACCCTCCCTAGGGATGGACATTTAAACTGTTTCTAATATTTTATTACTACAAGTAATGCTGCAACAAATATCTATAGGACAAATTCCTAGAGGTGAAATTTTTGGGTCAAAAGGAAAGTGCATTTGTGATTTTTTTCACATTGACGATATATCTTCCACAGAGGTTACTTACTGATTTATGCATATATATGCATTAATGTGCTTGGTTCCCCTTGACCTTGTCAATATAGTGCTACTGAATTCTTTGATCTCTGCCAATCTGATAGGTGAAAAATACCCCGTTATAGTTGTGAACTACATTTCTCTTATTATAAAGTTGAGCCTCTATTCTTTTCTTCTAAGAGTCATTTCTGTTTCCAAGAACTGTCTGTTCATAACCTTTTCTCATTTTCCATTTGGTTATTAATCTTAAGTATCTATTTGTGGGAGCTCTATATTAATCAGCCTCGTGTATGTGATATTAATTGCAAATATATTTTTCATTTATAAAAATTTTTTACTTTTATACAACCATGTGCCACTGTTTCAATATACTTTTGTATAACTATAGTGCTCTGGTTCAATTCTTACTCCAGTTGATGCAGGTATACCAACATCAAGACATACACAATACCCAGATTAGATTAGATCACATCTTCCTGTATAGCCTTTCAAAGCTCCCTGTATATTTCCTTTACACATAAAAACTCTCAGTTTATAACCAGCTCTGTAATTGAAAATCTGTTTCTCCCACTAGTCTCTAAGCCTTTCAAGGACAAAGTCTATGCACAGTACTTAGCACGCAGCATGTACTCAGTATTTGTTGACCAGATGGTAGAGTGAATGGAGAAAAAAATGGAAAAGTGGCAAAAAGAAAGGAAGGAAAGAGGGAAGCACTTCTTTATCTGCACTATAAAGTCTGAGGAGTTCATAGAAAAATTATAACAGTTAACTCTGCGTAAGGGGTAGGATTTTTAGGACATGTTTTTTCCTTTTGGTTTATCTGTAATTTCTTTCTTCTAAAATAAACATTTGGTTATCTTGTAATTTAAAAAGAAAATAATTTAGCCAATTCACCATCAGAGCAGTAACTAACAATTACATGGTTCTACCTACATGCAAAGTACAATGTTGAGTACTTTACATTAATGCTAGTAACATTTACATTTAAACCTAACAACTACACTATACAGTTGATATATATTACCATCCCCATTTTATATAGGAGGAAACTGAAGCACAAAGAAGCTACGTAACTTGACTAACATTACAAAGTTAGAAAGTGGCAGAGGCAATATTTGAACCGAGCTCTGGCTCCCGAGTCCACACTCTTATCACTGTGCTATACCACCTCTACCCACGTGTTGAACTAGATTTCTTTTTAAAAGGGATCTTAGAAGTTATAGTGATTTGTGCAAGTACGTCATACAATATAACTCATTATTTAAGACAGAAAAAAAGTAAGAATGGAACCTGAAGCAATTTCTCTTTTTGCAATATTTGCTTCTATAGTTTCTCTGCGTTTAATAACAAATTATCCCTTACGTAATGTAGACTCTTATAGTGTACTAAGGACATTTATATAAATTTCATGTAATTCTCATAACAATCCTATGACTCCAGAAAGACTACTATCTATATTTCTACTTTTGAAATGAAGATGCCAAGGCTACCAGAGGCTAAAAACAACACATTCACTGAGACACAGCTGGCGGAGCTATAACACATCCAAATGTTTTCTCACTTCCATGAGAATGCTCCTAGTTTTATAACATTATACACGGTGCTAGTTTAATTATCTACCTTTTCCTATTTTGCTAACGGTTTTTGTTCTACTAGGAATGGATGCTGACTAAATATCTATTCTGCACCTAATGAGATCACAGGGTTTTTTTTTCCTCTTTTAATGATTAATAATAAAAAGTTTTAATAGATTTTCTAAAATCAAACTCTACTTGCATTCCTAAGAGGCATCCCTTTGTTAGCACATATTATTCTTTTAAAATTGCACTGGATTCTGCTGGCTGGTGTTTCATTTAGGAATTTTCCATCATCGCTTTTTTACACAATCGGTGTGTAGAAATAGCCCAAATAATCACTAAAAAAGGTTGAACAAGTAAGTTACACCATACCTTTCAACAATATGCCTATAGTGATAAAAATAAGATAGATCTACACATATTAATATATTTAAGATACACTGTTAATTAAAAAAACAGTAAACCATAAAATAGTATATATATCACAATATTTTTTCCAATAAACATACATATGATTATGAACAGAGTTAAATCTAAAAAGATATACATACTATTAGTAATAATGTTACTAAAATAATGTTTCTAGAATAATAGACCTTAATAATTTAAAATTTTCATTTTTCTTTCTGTTCTACTGAACAATTTTATAATAAAGGAGGTACTGTCAATTTTTATAATTTGTTTCTTTAAAATAATGTTCTAACTCAGCCTGCTATGGTTTTTTTAGGCTACTAGTTCTCAAACTTTTGGTTTCAGAATCCCTTTACACTCTTAAATTGAGAACCTCAAAGAGTTTTTATGTATGTAGGTTATATTTATCAATATTTATTATATTAGAAATTAAAATAGACATTTTTAAAACACAAGAAAATGCAAGTACACTTTCCATCAGCCATCAGAGTAATGACATCACCACCTGTCAGGTAACCCCTGTTAAACATCACTGGCTACTCAAGAGAGAAGGAGAGCAAAAAAAGGACAAATTTAAAAATTTGTCTATTATAAAATTATTATAAAATATTATATATTTTATATATATTATAAAATAATTATTTTAATATTTATTATTAAACTATTATAAAAATAGTTTTGACTTTGTGGACCTCTCCAAAGTCTCAGGGACTCCCAGGTATTTCTGAGCCACACTCTGCAAACTGTTGCTTTTTTTCTTTTTCTTCTTCTATGCTATCTTCATCTCTCCTGTCACTGCCTTAGAATTTCCACAGCATACAGAAATGACAAGATTCAGGACTACAAAAGTTGCTGATCCTAAATTTAATCCTACTCTAGTGTCTTACAAGAATTAATGAGCATTTCTCAAGTCAAGAAGGCATTTATTACTATCTGGCAAATCTGATCAATTTACTAATACTGATTATGGCATGTTAATAAAAAAAGATTTGAATGTGCTAAAATCTATTTAGTCAGATGACGGTGCTGTTTTGAAACTTATTGTTTTTATGAATGAAATGATGTCTAACCAATACACTTTTCTTATTAATAAAATGTTAAGCAAGTAGTATCTAAATTGATTTTCACTTCAATGTAGACTAGTTAGTATCTATCTAAATTAAGAGTTTATTAAGTAAAAATAGCACAAATCAGTGGTTCCAAACTGTTGTAGCCACAGAACCTTTTTTTTTTTTAAACGTATTAGTCGGAATCTTGAGAGGGAAAATCAAACCTAGTTCCCTTTTCTAACCCCAGTCACCCAGCCCACCTCTACAGGACAGACTGAAAATCACAAGCTAATGCATCACCAAAATAAAACTCCTGAGTAAAATCCCAATACTGTGTTCAGAAGTATAATTCTGCACACTTAATAAGATCCCTCTTCAATAACTGCTGTAAAATTACCTTTCTTAGGTCTCAAGAACAGAGGCTTTGGACCATGCTCCCTATCTAGACTCTTGTCTACTCTAAATCATTTTATAAACATACTGTGAAACAAAATACCATTTCTTTCACCACCTCAAGCTATCATTGCCTAATAAACCCAGGTTTCACCTCTTCTCCTTCCAAGTGTCAATGATCCATTTTTTTCTTCTCCATTTCTCGTCACCGCACCAGCCCTGTGTTATTTCCAGTCAGCTGGCTATACTCGATTCTGCTTTCTTCAACCTCTTTCTTCAACTGTCTCTTCCTCAAAAAATACTTTCATCATCTAATGTCTCTCCTCCATCCATTACATTTGATCAAAATACCTGTGTTTGATCTTCTAACACATATCATATACTACAGTTAGCTACCCAACTTTATGTTAACACTACCTCAGCCTGAAGAGTACCATTCATTCTTTTCTTAAAAAGTGCTCTGAGTACACCTGAAATTTATATGATGTTATAAACCAATGTTACCTCAATTAAAAAAAAAAAAATCTTGTTAGCTATCATAGTCTTTCTTTCCACCCATCACCAACTTACTTCCACATTGATTAAAAAAAAAAAGAAAGTGCTCTGAAAAAATCAGGTAGGATGAATACTGAGGAAAAGCTCACAAGATAGTCTCAGAAACAGACCCGCTGTCACCAGTAAGCAGAGAAAGAAAACATTTAATGAACTTAAAACAGGATCTTATTACTTCATTTCATCAAATAATTGAAATGTTAATTTTCTTAAAACTGTCAATTTTAATCAAATTGACACATTTGAAAGGAACTGCTCCCTATTCCTACATAGGAGGAATCCTAACCACTCTGATATACCACTTACACTATTTTGAAAGCCTGAGAATCCACTAGTACATTTGGCTATTGTGTTGTTTTGGTTGTTCTCACATAGAATGTTACAGCGGTTGAAGGAAAAAAAGGACAAAAACAGGTCCAAGAAAATAAGATTTACAGAAAATGGCATTGTGTAACTATAGAACTCCTTAGGTAAATTGTGTAGAAACACTTTCCTTCCTAACAGAATAGTTTGACATATTAAAACATAAAAGGTGACATGAGTTCCCCTCCCATATAGTGACTGTGCCTAGAATATAGCTGGCAAATTAAAATTTGCTGAATATACTAGGGTTAAACCACAAGAAAGTGACAATATCTGACTGTTTTTGACCAACAAAATGGCACTTTCATGTGTTTCAATTTAACATCAATTTTAACACGAGAGGGAGGAAAAAGGTAATGTGAAGATACTCAAAAGAACTCACGTCTAAAGGTTTGCTTACAATTTGCTCCTAGAGGAGGTCCTGGGTGCAAACATATGCCCTCTAGGGCTCCGTCACCACCGCAGGGCATTAACATCCTCCCCTGCTGGGACTGCAGACCTTCTCTCTCGGTTTGATAACCACAGGTTCCCTATTTCTAAGCAACCCCAATTTCATGTAATTCTATTCCTTTTCAATAAAGGTAAGTTAGTTTTAGTTAACGATGATAAAATATAAAGCTTCAGAAAGAAATATATCTGCAAACACCACTTTCTCTGCTGATGAGAGAGGTGGAGTTATAATCAGGATATTTATCTTTTAGCCCAATCTGGCAATACGGTATTATCCTTGTTCTACTAACTGTGTGGTTTGGGTTAGCCAATCCCTTTCAGTCTCAGTTTCCTCATCTGCAAAATGGGAACAACCTCTCCATACAGGTTTGCTAAGACAGTTAAATAAGGAGCCTATAGGAGGAACGCAACAAATTATCCCTCCCACCCCGACACAACTCTCTCTCCATTTAAAAAACTGTACAGGGCCGGCCCTGTGGCTTGGTGGTTAAGTGCGCGCGCT